CCCACTACCAGCGACTCCACTCGGGGTTTCCGCAATCAATTTGCACAACACGCCCTCGGAGTCCACGTCTACGGCGGTTTCCTCTCTCGCCTCTATGGACCAGCTGCCTTCGGACGACCCGCACGATTTTTCTTCTCGACAGCTGGCTGACCCATACTGTCGACGTATTATAAGCTACCTCACTGGCAGTTCCCGTCCACCTAATGCGAGGCTCCGTCGCCAACTCTCGCAGTTTAAGCTGGACAACTCGGTGCTGTACCGCAAAATTTACCATCCTGACGGTCAGCGCTGGGTTCCCGTTCTACCCCGATCGCTTCGGTCCGAAGTCCTCATAGCACTTCATGACCATCCGACGGCTGGTCACCTTGGTTACCACAAAACCTACGATCGCCTTCAAAGTCGGTTTTATTGGCCAGGTATTACCTCTAGTGTAGCTCGGTATGTTGGGTCATGCACTACCTGCCAATGTAGAAAACTACCCACATCTGCTCCAGCCGGTACACTACAGCCTCTTCCATGCCCAGCCACACCATTCGAAGTTGTAGGCATCGATCTTTATGGCCCCCTTCCAGTCAGTGCTGCTGGAAACCGATGGATAGTAACAGCCGTTGACCATTTGACGCGCTACGCCGAGACGGCATCTGTCACTACCGGTTCAGCTTCTGAAATTGCTGACTTCATCCTCCGAGCCATTATACTGCGTCATGGTGCTCCACGTGTATTGCTCAGCGACCGTGGAAGGGCCTTCCTTTCACAACTAGTGAACGAACTTCTTCGCGACTCTGGCACAACTCACAAGACTGCCTCTAGTTATCATCCCCAAACTAACGGCCTCACTGAGCGATTCCACCGCACTCTTGCTGACATGATCGCCGCCTACATTCAACCAGACCACAAGAACTGGGATGTAGTTCTACCATTCGTCACTTTCGCCTACAATACGGCTATTCAGCGGACAACCGGCTACTCACCATTTTACCTAGTTTATGGACTCTCCCCTACTTCTTTGCTGGACGTCTCTTTCTTTACCTGCCATGCGGATTCATCTCCATCCTCTTCAGAGGAATACGTTTTGCGGCTCGCAGAGAGCCGCCAACGTGCTCGTATAAACACTGAAGCGCGACAGCAAGACAGAAAGCTGGTTTATGATGAATCGCTTCGTGCTGTATCCTTTCAACCTGGAGACGAAGTGCTCCTTTTGACGCCTATTCGCACACCTGGTTTGTGCGACAAGTTCCAGCCACGATTTATCGGGCCGTACACAGTTCTTGAAGAAACTTCACCAGTAAATTATCGCGTGACGCCACTTGTAGCCCCAGCAGATCGCCGTTATCGAACTACTTAAGTCGTCCATGTCTCCCGTATGAAGCCCTTCATGCGACGTTCTTTGTCCCCTTGACTTGCCGCGGCCAGGCTGGCCGCTCTCACGTGGGGTGAATCAGTGTGGGCATTTAGTATACCAATCCTCTTCATCTGTACATTATCATCATTATCATGTATTGCTCATGCATCCTCATCGTTGTCACGTATCATCATCATCTTGGTTCGTGCATCTCCGCTGTCGGCTGCCGGTTCCTCGGGCCTAATAAAGGTCTTCCAAACCAAGACTTCATAATATATATATATATATATATATATATATATATATGGCGCTGACTGTCACTCCTACTTCTAAATTCACATATAAACCCAAAAAAGTGGATGGAGGGAAGGCCGCTGTGATAGCTCAGTGGTTAGAGCATCGAACGCGTTATTCGAAGGTCGTAGGTTCGATTCCTGCTCACGGCTGGTTATTTTTTCATCCACTTTTCTTTCTTCTTTCTTCTTATTTACATTCCATTGGTTCTAATAACTTCCCCTGTACATTCCTTGGCATTACTGTCTGTTAGATCTCATTAATATTGTGTTAAAACACGGAAAAACGAGCCCTTAGGTATACACTTCTTTCCCTTAAACACACACACACACACACACACACACACACACGCACGCACGCACGGTGAGTGATGTAAACAACAATGTCGACAGCTATGTTGACACTGACGAGGGCGGCAAAGTCCAGCTGAGAGTGTCCATATAATTGCTGTCGGAATAAAAAATAATCCTACCCTTGTGAAGATTGTGTTCCACATGAGCTCAAAGCAAGGCTTCAATGAGTAGTTTTAGCTCCATTGTTCATGGAAATAATGCTAATTAATTCAGATTAACTTCAGAACTAATTGTCTTAAAATAAGTGCATATTTGGAATCTGTGAAGCAAACTAGAGAAGTCTGTGTAGTTTTATTGAATTTTGTAAAGGAAATCTTGGCTTTTAAAAACCCGCTTGCCCTGTTGTTGTTGTTTCCTGCAAGTGTGCAACCTTGTCTTCAAGCTCCAGATATCTTCGAGTTTTCAACTTGTAGAAACTTTTACTAGTTTACTAGCAACTGAAGGTCGTCCCCTCTCCTCCCCCCCTTTTCGAGTACAGGCTTCAGGAACACAAAAAAAAAAAGTCGCGATGCAGCTATCTTGCAGCCATTTTCTGTGTATAAAATAAATTTCCTTTGACGTAAGCTTTCACGATGAAAGAGATACATCACCATTTCCACTTCATTAGGAAGAGATATGCCACACACAAATCGTAGTTGAGTATGAAATGAAGCTGTCCGAACTCAAAACAAAATGTGCTCTTCATCTTTTCGTGGTGATGGCACAGCATGAACGTGGCTTTTGTTGTGTACTCAATTGTAATGCTCAAACTGTTTTTTAAGTTACGTTATCAGAAAGAAGATGCCAGTAGGTTAGAGTAAATAGGGTAACTTAGCTACAGCCTGTGAAATCTAATGTGCTTTAGGAGTAAAGGACAAAGTAATGCAAACAAATAAAAGAGAATTTATTGCACCTTCTGTGGAGTAATAGACACTTTTTACAATTACAAAGCTAGCTTTCTCCCAATACAGTTAGTATAACTAATGGCCAACAGCATGTTCAAGTGCAGTTTGCTTGCGCTATGACATGGGAAATGTGCACTCAGCATATTTATAAAAACATGGATTATCGACAAGTCCCTGCATGTGCAACTAAAACCTCACATTCGTTTGAAGCACAACAGGTGCCGCCATAAGTAAAGTAAATATGCAGTGCAGGGTAGTGCACTTGTTGATTATGAAAAGGGTCTATCCAGCTTGCTGAATTACACAATAAGTGTAGCATGATCATGAAACTTGTTGCAAAATCGAGGGCCTCTGTCAACAGCTTTTAGGTCTGGATAGGGTATCTGTCAGTTCATTATACTTGTTGTTTCCATAGATGATTAATAGTTAAGCCATTTTTCTGCTAAGGCATTTCATTAGTGGTGGTAGTGGTGGTCAAGTACTGAATTGTGACAGATGATAATTAGTTCTTAACTTACAAAATTTTGTTAGCTAATAAGTGCAACAGGCTGGAAAATTGAGAGAAAAAAGCCCAGTCTTTGTAAAAGCCATATTAACCTCTGGGTCTTAAAAGTACTATTTATTTACAATGCCACTAAGGGCCCTCATTCAAGTGTATTTATAAGGGAAGGGAGGGGGCACAAAAAAGCATACCTGCACTTTAAACACAAGTTGTACTAGAACTTTTTTTGATAATTTTTACAGAAGAAACTGAAAACATAGCCGGAGCATGAAATATAGAGGCAACTATGACCTCATGTAATAAACACACATGAAGAATCCATAATAAAAATATATGGTCGAGGGGTATACTCAGTAATTCTTGGAAGTCACAAAGCACTTGATACACAATAAATTAATGTGCACATATTATAACACAAAGTAATAACTAATCTGCTAGTTCTGCTTTTTACAATAATGTTTGAACAGATGGTAAATTAACTTCAGTTGCTGTATGTGGTTGTGAATTACTCTACTCAATTATGGTGCATGAAATGAATAATCTTATGTGCAAAAAATAAGTGGCATGCTATACTTAATACTTCATGATGGCCACTGCATGGGGTGGCATAAGGATTACTGTATATTATGTACAAAATCTATGGGACACAATAGAGATCTTTTCTGTGTTCCATCGAATTCATGCACTATACAATCTACAGTCATGCTTTACCAACACGCCCAGTCTTCAACCTTACAAAAGGACTAATCATGATGTCTGGAAAATAAGCTTAGGCAATCAAACTGGCATTGACATGACGGTGGTTACAACTTGACACATTGTTTTAACATTTAAGAGGCTGGCGAAGCTCGTGTAATCTGAATAGATGAAGCAAGCAGCATGATTTGAGAGAGATTCAACGTTGCGGATGATGTATGCTTGGTCGGGATTTTGTATGGTGGAAGCGTGTTCACTTTTGGGGTTTGTCAGCATTATATTAGATTTTATCAAGTATGAAGCTATGTGCTTGTGGTTGCACTTTAGACCGAATGCTCTGTTAGCTGGTGGTAGGATGGTGTTAATATGGTAATGCCAAATTAATTCAGACTGCAGATAAATTACACTCACCTAGGTGACATTGTACTTATTTATTGCAACAATAATTTCCTATGTAATGGCAAATCTTCGCTCATTAAAGCACACCCCTCATATAACTGTGGAAAAGGTTATGTATACTTATTTTGACCAATTACAAACCAACATATAGCCAGTATAATATTGTCTGAGATGTCTGATGAAATGTACTATCTATAGAGATAGCGGTTACTGTGCATGAAGAAAGCAGCAAGTTCTGAATGTTTTCCGTTGCCATCATTACTTAAAGGACATTTCTGTTCACTAAATGCCCCACACATCTGATTAAAAAATAATTGCAGATGTTTACTGTGCTGTTAGCACTTTACTTTTATTCCTTGTTGTGCATGTATAGTATAAGTCCTAGTATGTGTAGGGTAAATTGAACCAGCTAGTGACCGGAAGAAACAGTTGCACAGAGTGAAAAAAGTCATTTGTAGTGTCATTTTATTTTGAACTTCTGGCAGTATAGGAGCAAGTAGCTGATTGGCATATTTGTTTCTCTTTTTCAGTGACGGTGTCTGATTTGCAAGGTATCGAGGACATTGGTGTTGGCCAGCTGAATGGTGGAAGACGCATTGATTATGTCCTTCAAGAAAAGCCCATAGAGAGCTTCAATGAGTACCTGTTTGCTTTGGCTAGCCATGCCTGCTACTGGCAAGTATTAATCTTCTTGCTTCCTTCAAGTGTCTTGGCCACTTGGTGCAAGCTGCAAAAAGATTGAACATTGTTACACAATACTTCATGTGATGATGATAATGAAACGAAATTAGCGCGTAAAGATGCAACGAATAGTTACAACAAAGTTACAACAAGATACAACAAAGATGCAACTCGGGATTTGCACAACCCCTTGCAATCCTTGAATATCCCGTGAACTCCTTGTAATCCTTAAAAATCCGTGAAAAATCAATAAACAGGGGTTGTGTCATGACTATAACAGAACTGTTCTAGCCTTGAGAAAGAAAAGTCCGCTTGTCGAAACATTGGCTCGACACAACACCTGTTTATGGATTTTTCATTGTAAGCTTCCATTTTCATCTTCCTACCATTTTTGAAAATGCTGTGGAATTTGTTCCACTATAGAAGAAAATAACAACATATTTTTGCAAGTCATTCTCATTTCAAAGGCCCCTTTCACTTATGAATGACCACGAAAATGAGCTGTGTTGACTAAAAGACGTCCGTTAGTCACTGTTTTGAATCGCACAGCCGTTACAGTGTCTGGAAATTAATATATATTGGAAATCGAATCTAATCCAAGGCATATCGCTTGGTTGGGCTATGGTTCCTAAGTCTGGCTATAATCTGCCGTCTCAGCACTGTCTCGAGCTAGGCCATATCTGCGCCGTTAAAGGCGGCACTGCAATTCATCAGAGCGAGTGCCGTGGAAGTGGCGCAGGTGGAATCAGCGGTGCATTGTGTCTTTTCATTTAATATTGTGCTCCAGCGTGGAAGACTCCTTTTAATGCTGTTTGTGCGGGGAGGGTGCAATCCCAGTCGCGACCAGACAAAAGAGGTGACACACATCTTGTCTCACCTAAATCCATCCATTGTCCAGCACAGTTTCGTAGCGCAGTGTACTAAGTGGTTGACGACAGCAGGCATCACTTTTTGTGCCACCACGATACCCACATTGGCATTCTAAGGAGTACTATTTCGTCCGTCAAGCTTGTGTGCTCTATTTCTCTTAGAGCATTGTATGTTTGCTTTGAAAAGATGCCAGGCGAAAAGTGCAGGTTCTAGCCTGCATGACTGAATTATACAGAATGTGGTAACTTGGTGCGATCGGAATCGTGCGATCCTTATCCAGCAAAATTCGCAATATTTCAGAAGACGGTCGACATTGCAATGATGGGGGAATTCGCCTTGAAGAGCCATCAGAAAGGCACGAAACACCAATCCTAGCGGTAGGTGAGGGTGCTCTTATGTCGTAAGTTATGTGCGAGCGGCAAACCTGACATCCGAGGTGACTTGTCAGTGTGAAATCATGGCAACTTCCTCTTGAACTGCAACACTTGATGAAGACTGCAGAAAGCATGATTCCATGATAGAAGCAGAAATATAGTGGACGATGAAAGTTGCATCATCGCATCTATCGCACCAGTGCATCCATTTCGAGTACACTTCAAACGATGTTTTCAGACAGTGAAATTGCACAGAGCTTCACCTGTTCTGAGTAAAAGTGTGCATACACCACGTGCAACAGTCTGTGCCCATTTTTCACTTCAATGACAAATGATAGAAAAGTCTAAGCATTTTGTTGTACATTTTGACGAAACCTTGAATGAATATACCTGCAAAGAAAGCAACTTGATGTGGAACTACTGTGATGTGGCAAACAGATATCTCATTTCAGCATTTTTGGGTCACAGCACAGTAGACAACCTCTTGCAGAAGTTGACGAAAGCACCCGCATCCTTTCCTCTGAGCAAGATTGCGCAGCTCTCGATGGACGGCCCCAATGTCAGCTGTAGCTGAAAGTTATTCTTGATCTTTAATTGACAACAAGCTTCTTTCTGAGCACAAGAGAGATATTGTGTGTGCACATTATATTCAGTTCTGCCAAGAATAATGGCATGAACTAAAAAAAATTAGAGATTGTGAATGCCTTGGTGTTCTCTTTGTGCGCCTTATGAAGCATGACCCGTCGTTTTCAATCTTATGGGAAGTGCTAAAGGTCCTTTTCTTGCTTAGCGATGAACAGGCTTCAGAAGAACAATGTTTCTGTGTCAACTAGCTGATCATGGTTAAAAATACGGCAGAGCTCTTGTATATCTCCCAACATGTCATCTCCAAGGCCGTGAAAACCCACGGTGGGCTGTTTAATGTTCCACTTTCGAAAGAAGTGAAATCATCAGTGCACCAAGCCAGGCATACATATGTGTTACGAATGGAAGAACAGAAGAAGCAAGTTGTGGTACAGCGGGTAAGCTTGAAAACAAAAGGACTCAAGCTCGAGCTACAGAGCATGCAAAAGAAGAAGCCAAGTAAAAAAAAAAACTCTGGAGAGTGCTCGCTGGAGTAAGCAGACCAGTTTTTGGAAGATGCCAAAGCAAAAAATGACATGTCTTTTCAACGCCTACAGGTTTTGCCAAACAGCTCAAAAAAAAGAGGCAGAGGTAGCTGCTCTTTACAAACGTTATCAATGTGAAAGCACAGCTTCTTTCTTCAGTCAATAATGTGCAAAGATAATATTAAGTCAACAATTTTTGAATTTTTTCTTTTTGCATTTTTGAAATTCTTGAAAAGACCTTAAATTTATAGCAAAAATATTGTGTGTGAACCCTGGTTATACTCTTTTATTCATCATTTCATGAGTAAAAACAATCCAGGGTCATAATCCTGGCAGAGATGCTAGGTATTGATACCCTGAGATCTTGCAGCAGATCTATCTTACATATTAGCGGCACCACTGATTTGTTACGGCAACATTTATGCATGCTGCTCCTCATGTAATCTCATTGTTCTTAAAGGGCCAGTAAACAAGCTGCAACATGTTTTTATTCCTTCTAAACAAGCTCTCGAATTCGTTCAGAAGGCCGCAGCAATCACATTTTGAGAATATCATACAGTTGCACGCCTTGCAAGTGCCACGTATTAAGAAATAATTATTATGTCCCTCTCCTCTCCCTGATCAGTCCCTTTCTCCTACGAAGTGCACAATGTTGTACATGGGCAACATTTGTGCCGACCTCATTTATTGATCTTCTGCTCTATGAAACTGTGCTGTGGCCCTTTCGGTGATGCAGTTCTGGCAGCGCAGTTGTTGCGGCTGTTGCGTGTTTGCTTGCATCGTCAGTGCTGTTCTGTAGCAGCCAGCAGTCATACTGATTAAGCTTGCAGGGACACGAAGGTCCACGAAGTTGAGCACCACCAGAGCAACAAAGAAAATGTTCACTGTATTTCAATGCTTTGTAATCAGTGTTTATTCACAACAAACGTTCATGGTGCCAATAGCAGGTACAGTCACTATACTTGCATTGCTGTGAGCTCCAACGCCGCCTTGCTTCCTCTTATGTCGAACAAAACTAGCCGAAACGCAACACAATAAGTGCCTTGCACAACGCTTCCTCACTGCGTCATCTGTGAGAAACTGCCATGACAAACATTGGCCACAACACATAAAGAAAGCACCACTCATTTGTTGGCTGTGCACCTATGACATGACGTCGAGTTGCATCATCGATGCTGGCCACGGCTGGACTCGACTCTCGCCTCCACTCTCCCTTCCGGCCTTTGCAATGCACCAAGAGTGAAAAAACTTTTTCCTGGCAAGTTGCTGTGCGGCTTACCACATGAGGGCGCCACCGCCTCATTGTATCCGTGGGGGCTTAGAGGCTGTACGTGTTCTCCCACTGAATTTTGCTGTTATAACTTTTTTAGTGGCGCCTGCTTTAATTGGCGACATTCTTGGGTCCGCAACGTCCATCCTACTTGCAAACTGGTGCCCACGACGTGGGTGTAAACTGCACTACTCAGAAAAAGCTATTTAAGAGTATTGACCTGTTCGATCTTCAAGCACACATGTAGCCGGTTGCTTGAACGTGAGTTTTCAGATAGCCCAGGCATCATTGCGGGAAAGTTTGTCCAAATACCTTATGAATTTTAAATGGGTAAAACTGTGACATTGGCATGAAAATACTAGTTTAAAAACGTTTACCCGTTGAACATATAAAATATGAATGCTCATCACCGTTCAGATATTCTCCACCCCAAGTGAGTGCAGTGTACCGTATTTACTCGCATAATTTGCACGCTTTTTTTTCGCGATTTTGGGGCTCCAAGAAGGGGGTGCACAATTTATGCAGGGATTTTGTGAACACGTATGACATGATGCGCAATAGTCCTAACAAGTACAGTACATTCACTAAAAATAATAAATTGATGCACAAACGAAGTGTCCTTGCTAATTAAACAGAATTAACACGTACTTTAACCAGTCCGGTGCGGTCACGCGCGGTCTAGTTGGAATCGCTGATCGAAAGTTCAGATTGAAACCGATCGTCGTGGCCGCTGTCACCACCCTCCCAAAGCGCATCGTCCTCGGTTCTGTCGAGCCCGTTCGAATGCCCCCCTTTTTTTTAAGCTCTTTTCTACAATGCTGGGAGAAACTAGGTCCCACGACACAGCGATACCAAAGGACCCAAGCGTTTGCATATAATTGAAGAGGTCTTTTTTAATGGCAGAAAACTTGTATTAGCAAGCGCACTCTGCTTCCTCCTGTACCAATTGCGCCGATCATCGTACAGTGTAGTTTATGCTGGAATGCTTGGCGGTGGCAGGGTTCCAGTTTTCTCAACAAACTTCACAACAGTGAGCTTGAATTTTGCCGCATATATATAGTAACCGTAGGCGATCGCAAGAGAACTGTAAAAAAGTGACGGATAGATGCAGAAACCCATACTTCAGAAATTAACCAAGCGTGCGTTGCAGCATGGACGGAGAGAATCAGGAGAACAATTGCTGGGACAGGTGTTCTAACGCCTCCGATGCAGAAAGTTGTCTGTGCCGTGACGCGAGCGTACGTTCTCATAGTAGAAATCGTAGAGATAGGGGGAGGCAGGTGAACACTCAAGCAGTTCTGGGGGGTGCGGAGTTCTAGGGGCCCTAGTTCGGGCGAACTCCTTGGAAGAAGCAAGGCATCCAAAGGTCCA